CAAAATTTGGTCCTACCATGTACAATTGTTAAATCGATTGTGTAAAGTAGGAGATGCAAAAATATTTTCCAAGCATTTAAATATTCCTTTTCTAAGCATTTAGTGCTACCACATGAATAACGTATTTAAGCTATTCTGGTGCTTCGTACGGAAGGAGGTGCATATGTTGTAATAAATGTATTCATGTCATTAATAAGTTCTTTTCGAAGTTGAGTAAATTTTTAGTGAATTCGCATTTAACAGCCGCGATATTAATGTTGATATACAAAAAAACTGTTGACATCTTGACTCATGCAAATCTTGAAATATCTGTATGTGCTCACTGTAATAGTCCGAATAACACGTTTTGCAATGTTCCAAATTAATCTGTCTATGACAAATAGAACATCATTTTGCAAAAAGAATCATCTGTTCTTCATACAGCTTTAATTTATGTGGAATCCATTTTTTAATTGTGCTTAGAAATTGTTGTCTTAAAATTATCCAATTAATTAAACTTAAAGCACAGTCTCGATGTATTTCATTTATGATATCAATTTAAAAGTGCAGTGTGGAACGTGTAGCTTCTTGTAATAGAAATAATATAGTTGTCTGTCCACAACAGATTTATAACTGAGATGTTCACAATTCAGATCTATAGCAAATGACTGTAAAGACAATATTAATTAGTCCTCTGTTTCACTAGTTAATACTGACAAACTGATTTGGGTATTTGAAAATGTAACGAAATACGAATAACCGATATTGAATAGAATGTTGCGCATGGATTCTTATAAATAAACGCGCATGGATTCTTATAAATTTTTATTACATGTAACTTGTATATAAAAAAAAATATTGAAGTAGGAGGAAGTTGAAAGTTTTTAAACAATCATAAATATTTTGAAAAAGTGAAAATATGATTTATTGTTGCTGTATATATATCTTAGTAACAAACAAATACAGATAGTATACATGCGTCTTGTAAACATTATATATATATATATATATATATATATATATATATATAT